TTATCCAGGGAGACAGGCTTTAGGCATGTAGGGAGATGTTCAGTCTGTGCTGGGCTGCAGCTTCCAACAGTGGATGTGTTTTGTTAAAATGCAATTGAGTAGGAAAATGCTATTTACAGGTTTCTTTATATCCATTGTGATGGCTTTTAACATTAGGTGTGGGGTTGGGTTGTTTTTGTTTCTGTTTTGGTTTATGTTTGTTTGGGAGGTTTGCTTTTGAGGTTTTTTTGGTTTGGTTTGGTTTTTGCCAGGTTTTGATTTTTTTTTGGCTTATTCACCTACTACAGTGATTTCTGCCTTTCCCTGAGCCTGGGTTAGCAGATAATACTCTGCACTTTTTGACCTTGTAATTCTAAGATTCTCTACCTAGTCGAGCAGACTTCATGAAGCTCAAAGTAGTCATTGGACTTCTTTGTTTTTTAGTCCTATTCTGTAACATACCTTCTTTCTATTTATAGAAGGTTCTGGTCATTACGTTGCTTATGAGCAGAGCCTTTAGAAGTGATTTGTGCTTTTAACAGGGACTCTTAGAAAATAGGAATAGAATGTAAAAATGCAGATTGGTGCTACAGTAGCCCCAAGGGAAGGGTTACACCTTTTTTACAGTCCCCAAGCATTACTGAGATTTAATATTCTGTTTGATATTTGTGTTAAGGAGTAATGCTGACCCCAAAAGAAATTCTGGGCATAAAATTCACAACCCTCCTTAGGGAGAAATAACCAGTTCCTGTTACCAGCCAAAAAAAGTTGTTGTAATTGTCTGGCCTTTTGTTCACAGCCCAGATTTTACTGGGAAATAACTGAACCACAAGTAGCAGCAAATGGTAGGCAGAGAGCTAAGAGGACTTACAGAACTGTCTGTTACATTTCCAAATGACAGCCCTCTGTTTTAGGGAATGACAGCAGAGCTCTTTTCTTAGGGTGTGGTGGGACTTGCCTGGCTCCCTGCACATTCTTATGGCTTTTTTTTTTTTTTATTATTATTCTTTGTGCAACAGAAATCACATTGTTGCATTTAAGAAATTGCTGGGGGAGGGGGGTCGGTAACAACAAAATATTTGTTACTGTTTTCTAAACTGCAACAAAGTATTTTTCCTACTGTCAATGATGCATGGAACTCACTCCTTCCCAAATGTGTGTGACAGGAGGACCAGGAGTGCTGCTGGAAGCTGTGCTTTAGCAGGACATATTTCTTGCATATGGATCTGAATTTAGATCAAAACGAAACAGGTCATTTACAGTTCTGTGCTAAGAGTTTGCCAGAAGTATAATTCTCTGTGAGGCCAAATCAGAAAGTAATCTTCCTGTTATTGTGGCCGAGGCTCTGTCAGTGTTACAAGTGCAAACGTCTGCTCAGCCACTGAATGTGGCTTGTTTGAAAATGCCTTTGGCTTCAGTTGCCTCCAGGTTTGGTGGTTTTCTTACATTAATGCGTCTCTGAGACAAAAGCAAAATGTCTGCCTGTGGGGTTTTAGACATAAACTGAGAAGGGATATTAGAAGGTCATCGTTGTCTTATGCTTTCCCATTTTTCCTATTCATTTATCATGGGAAAATTCACAGAAACAGGAGAATAAAGTGTAAAATAGCAGCTTAAAGAATACCCATCACTTGTGCTACTGAGGCACTTGGATCTAAAGCTGTTCTGCTGGGCGAGGCCCAGGAATACAAATTCCACCTTTTCCCAGTGTTTTGAGCAGTGGCACAGTAACATTCCCACTGGGAAAGAGAGCTGTGACATGAGCTGTAATCAGGGTCCAGTGTGCCAAATGGTACACTTGGTTCAGGGACAGAGCTGCCTGGGAGTGACTGGAGAGCCACAGGACTAGAATGAAAGGCTTGGATCCACCATCTACTCACCAGAGACAGGTGGATCCAAAACCAAAGTCTGGCTTAGGCAGCTGCTGCTTGGCACATCTGTGCAAACTGCCCCCTCCCCTGAGCTTAAGTGTGTGCCAACAGCAGCTTAGCTCAGCTCTGGGTCCCTGGAAACTACTCCTAAGTAACTGGGATATAAGGAACTACACTCCCTTTGCAAAGAAAAAGGACAATGTTCCTTAATCACCTGATGCAGATGTAAAAAAAAAAAAAAAAGATATTTGAGGATATGTAAACCTTTAAAAGTGCATTATATATTTCACATTTCTTTTAAGGGGAAAAGGCATCCGTACTTAAGAGCTTATGGATGAAGCTGGAGGACCAGGAACACTGTTGCCACACAGAAAGCTGCACGGTGGCTGGAATATTTCAGCAATAAAAATGAACTTCTGGGACATGGTTCTGCTGGAATAAGCCATGTAAGACTATGTATTTATGTCCTTTAGATTGTTACCATACAAAATCCACTTATTATAACTGGTTTACATTGTCCACTCGTGGAGCTGAACAGCACTGAACAGCTAAAGGATGGCAAATGAGGCTCAGAGCACTCACCAGCTTAACATATTCCACATAAAACCTGCTATTTCTGGATATCTGCTAATGCATTCTTTGGCAAAAGGGGAGCTCTGAAAGAAACTTTTACATAAGCCCCATCAGCAGCCCACACTTCAGATAAATGCACACCCTCTCTGGTTTTAATTCTTTCTTTCAAAAGAAAAATCTTAACTTTGTGCCTGACACCCTTGTGTTCTGGGGCTGGGTCTCAAGTGCTCTGTACAGGAACCCCTGAGGGGAAAATCAATAGTTTTCTTTGCACCCATCACCTTAATTACCAAACCACACATCTGAAAGTTGCACTGGGCTTAAATATTTATGGACACTTCGGAAAGTTGCATTTAACCACTGGTGGGTGATTGTATATTTGAAGATTTCTGTGGCCTTGGCAAACAAAACACGAGAATTTCAGCTTCCTTGAAGCTTGAGTAGCCTTTTCTGGCAGACAGTTTGCAATCTTCTTTTCATATGGTCCAGCAACGAGATCTATACACCACCTCTTTTTTGGAGCAGAGATATTTCTATGACCACATAAATTACTATGAAATGTAAGCACGTTCCATTTCATAGGAATGCTGCAGAGACAATCCAGCCTGGTAATAAAATCACCTCTGTTCAGTTGGCTCTTCATTCACCTGCATTTTTGGTTATGTAAAAGATATTGTCAGGACCAAGAATTCTGAACTCAGCCTGCTTTACACTTCAATACAGAAAACTTTTTTGGATTGATTCCAATTTTCACCCAAGTAACTAATCTCTCATAAAATCACCCCACTGATTTTAGACTGTAACTGAAAGGGATCTTGTTCCTAAAATTCCAGGAACAATTTCAGATCATTGTCCAAAGAACAAATGGCCTGAAGTGTCTATTGGACACTAGTGATGCAAGATAAGTGATGAGTTAAACTCAGATCGTATCGCACGTAATTCTTCTTTCGAGCAGCTTATTTTCAACTGTCTCTGGGAAAAGGAGAACAAGGAGAATTACAGTGGTAAATTCAAGGCAATTCCAGTGCCTTGCAATGTCTTGTGTAATTTTTACCTCTTTTAAATGGTTGTCTGGGAAAAAAAACTAAAAGAAATCTGACCATTACTTGCCCTTGGTCCACCCAATGCACAGGTCAGCGGGAAAGGAACAGGAAAACTGCTTAAACAGGAGGGCCAGGATAAGGATTTCATACTTGTTTTGAAGCACTAAAGGGGATGAACATTATTAAAACTTAGAAATTTTTAGAGAAGACTGTCCCCACAAGAGCCTCAGGAATACTGGCATCTGTATCAGGCCAGAATGCCTATTAAGATGGGGACCAGAAATATTATTTTTCACTGCTTTTAGATGAAGACATATTTTCTTAGTGTGAGAGAATGACTACAAACTCTGAAAAGGTGGTACAAATACAGCAATAAATTGGAAAATATTTACTGTTTCACGTATATTCTGCTGCTTTCAGCTGAAGTCGCTCATCTCAGCGCTGAATTTAGGTTGATAAATAAAGATATTCACAAAGGTTGGGGTTTTTGGAAGCTTGGCTTGAGAACCACACGCGGTGGCATCTGGATTTACGGCTCTGCTGCAATATGTCTTCGGGACATTTAAGCAAGAACTTGGCTTCTGACAGGACAGTTTTCATTTTCTCAAACTGGCCATATTTTCAGGTGAGCTTTTATTCTTTCTGCAGCAAATCTTGAAGCGTTGAGACCTTTAGAATTACAGCACCTATTTGGTGTGGTTATGAGTGCACAGTTGCTCCTCTGCCGAGGAACATCTGGGGGGTTGGCCTGGGTTGATACCTGTGCCTTTGGGCAGCCCTGGGAGCAGGCAGCACAGGGAGCAGGTTTAAAATGGGTTTGACATTCCTGAGGCTGGGACACTGCCTGGCACAGGGAAAGCACTGGCTGTGCTCACAGATTCCCAATCCTTGTGCAGTCCCTGCTGAGGTCAACAGGAGATCTCCAGGTCTTTACACGCTTTGACACAGTTTGATTCACTTCTTTACACCAGAAAGGAGTTGAAAAGGGTTTATTTTTGAAACAAGAAGTCACTGATGGTAAAAGCCCTGTATAAATAACTCCCCGTGCCATACCTAAGAAATCTTAGCTGTGTGATTAAGGCCTGAATTTTGGATTCCTGTATTGTGTAAGGAAAAATAACTCTTTTTTTCTTGAATAGCATGTAGTCAGAATTAATCTGTCAATGACAGGTTGCACTGTAAGTCATGCCCTGGGTACACCCTCACAAGTGATAGAAGGGAACCAGGATCCCAAACAGCCACAAACAGCAACATGGACAAGAGCAGAATTTGGCCCCAGCTGTTTGCACTGGATTTACTGCCTGATGAGCCCAGCCAGCTTGAGCTTGCATCATAATCCAAGAAAAAACCTAATAATACCTTTCCATCTAACTCAGCCACATATATCAGGCTTTGGAGGTGTCAGGACTAAAAAGAGAACTGCACTTCTGTCTTGGAGATATTTTTACTGCTGAGAAAGATATACTGCAAGCAACAGTTCCCTACGCAGCAGTTCTCCTTTCTCTTTTCCACTTAAAAAAAAAAAAGAAAAAAGAAAAAAGTAAGAAAAATAAGTCAAGCAATAAAAATTCATGTTTCACATCGGATCTGATGCGCTCAAACTTGAAATCTTGTTCTCCTATCTCCTGCAAGATCTTTTAAATTCTGAAGAGCCTTGACAGGCAGAAAATGAACAGATGCACAGTAGAGGTGGGAGAGGATCTTGTAGGAGGTCTGTGCTTGCCTTCTGCAAAGATAAGGAAGCGGAGGCATTCCTGAATCCTGGAGTGCTGTGTGGGGAGAGGGAGCCCCCAGCATGCACCTCTTGGCAGGGCTGGATATTACATAAGGCTTGCAAATGAATTCCTGTCCCTCTCTTTGGTACCTTGGAAGAGAATGAAGATACCAAATAAAGACACTTCAGTAGAAACAAGCAGCCCTTCAGGTTCCCCATCTCCTTCCTCCTGCCCCAGCTCCCCTGCTGAGCAGTCACCTGAAGGCAGCAAGCTGTTCCTCCAGCTCCCACACAGGCAGTCATGCTTCCTGGACAAGGGATCCCTGCTCCCTGGGGTTTGGGGATACCTCTGGCTGCAGGAAGGACACTGAGCACTGCTGTACTCTGGCGTGCTTCTGTTTTAGGCTTTGTGTGACAGACTTCATCTCGGTAGCCAAGTATCTTCTGTACTCGGGTAAAAGATGAAAAAGCAGATTTTTTTAGTATTATTTAGTACTACAAGATCAAGGACAGCCATTCAGGAAGGTAGGGAAGAACTGCACATTACTATAAGAAGCAAAAACAAGTGAATGGTGGGATTTTTTGATAATAAGATACATTTTCCAGTGCTGAATACCTTTGATAACTTGTCTCCAAATCAGAAAGCCTGACAGGCCAACCAGTTGTTCACATTTCTGCAGGATAACAGAGCTCAAAGTTAGTCAGAGATGTTCTTGAAAGCCACATTCAACTGGAAGGATTATGGGTACAGTGCCCTTGTAAGTATGATTCCCTCTTCTCATTACATACCTACCTTTTGGTGAGTAGCCATTAGATTCACACTAACATCACTCATATGAAGAAGAAAGCTCTTTAAATATTTAATATTCCGAGGAATTTTTTTAGTCTTATTTTTGAAGGAGAGATGTGAACATTCCTGGTCAGTCTAGTATAAAACCTTTGGTTCATTTTAATTAGATACCAAAGGCAGGGCCGTGGTGACTTCCCAACAGTTGCAGTGTTGTGGTTTTAAGGATTTATCTATTCTAAACTAAACCATTTGCCTGGAATACAACGAGTTTTATGGTTAATAAATCCATGGTAGAAACTGCAGGAAATACTTATTTTGGCCACATATTGTTTACTCTCTACTGCATTATTTGTTTGAAACTATAAATCTCTTTTAGCTTTCACATCATGAAAAATATATTGCAACTTATTTTGTTAGGCACGTGTACAAATTTAAATAAAATCAGAAATATAAAATAATTACTCTCTGTATTATAAAAAAACTTCTTATTTCCTAGTTTTGCAAACAATCCATCGAGAACAGATTCCAAAAGCCCAGGAGGGTAGTTCTGGAAATCCAGTATAGAACTGCAAAAAAAATTACAAGGATGGTGATATTAAGTGTGTTTTAGGGAAATGAGTGATACAGTAATTTATTCTGCTCTAGGCAGTGTCACGAATCCATCACGGCACAAAGTGAAAGGAAACACGTCAGGAATGCTGGAATACCTTCCTTTACCAAGAGAAACCCACTCAAACCAATAACAGGACAACATTCAGTATAGTAGAAAATAAACCGAATAGAAACAAATTACAGAACGAATTTTCTAACTACGCCCTCTGTACCACACACCTAAAACCACTGAGTTTTTAATTGCCTTCCTTTTTTCCACTGGAAAGCCACGTGATCAGGAGGCAAAATCTTGGTTCAGTGAACACAGAATCACCCAGTCCAACCTCCCCACACAGAAAATAGTTGTAGAACACAAAGCACAGTTTTCCTCAGTTCCCTCAAGAAAAATAGTGGAATTACTGATGCAGAAGTCTAGGAAACAATGTGCTTTGGTGCAGAGCAGGGACCGGTCACCAAGGTAAATAAATCATCATTCCAGCACAGGAATATTTGTGCCACGGGTGCCTGCAGTGTCACAGAACGAGAGAAAGACACGTTGGCATCTCCATCCTATAACTGACCTTTACATTTTATAGTCAAGATTAAAACAAACAAACATGGAACTGAACTAATCTTTTTTCTTTTCTTTTTCTCCAAATTCTATCCAAAACTTACCTGATATTCATGGAGACACTTCTATCTACAGCTGTGGAAACCTAAAGTGACAGCTTGATTCCTGAACCTCTTCTTTAACAGCAGTGGGATTATGGAAGCTGGAAAACTACAGCTCTCTAGGGCTGTGCAAAACCAGCAGAGCAACACACACATAGAAGTTGAAGAGGTACAGATTTAACAGAAGTCAAATGAAGCTAAAGGAGAGTAAGTTCTGTAAGGGACATGGTAATTGAAGTAATCACAGGAGTAATAAAAGGTCTGGCTCAGACACTTGTCCTCTCTAACTGGCCCTTTCTTGCTTTCTCTTTCTATTCTTTTCCTGTTTCATGCTCCTAATCAGGTTCAAATGAGATGTACCTTCTTCCATCTTTGCAAGCCTGACCTACTTCCCAGGGATTAGCAGCACCATGGCATGTCTCCCCTGTTCCAGGAACGCTCTGTTCTCTTTTAGGAACGAAACCAACTCTGGCTTGTCCCTGAGCAGCCTTTGCCTGAAATGCAAACCTCCTGTGTTGAACGTGGCTAGAAATTACTCAAAAATTACTGGTACAAAGTCCTTTACTCTTTTTATTGTCAAGTCTTTCTTCCCTTGTTCTTTTGAATTCACATTTATCTGGAGCCATCATTTTACACGTTCCTCCTCAGCCCTTTCATGGAGCTCTGTTTTGCCACCCCATCCATTCACACGTTCTTGAACGATGCAAATATAATTACTCACCACCCTGCACCACCCCACAATAAAATGTTCCTCAGCCTTCCTTTTTGCACAGTGTTGTCACATAGATTCTCTTAATTTGGCTCCACCAGATTTCAAACCTTTCTCCATTTTGGCCAATCACTTTTTTTTTTCCTTCCTCCAAAGAATCTATAGAAAAACTAACATTTCTCTCAGGTTTCTCCAGTTCTTACTAGCAGCAGAAAAAAAGTGCTTTCTGTATTATCTCCTCACAAGGCAACTTCAGCCACGTGTGTGTCTTCTCAAATAATTGCTACTGCTGTATTTCTTTCTTTCCCCTAAATATCTCAGGTCTAAACGTTGTTAAAACACCACATCCAATTTTCAAACTGTCCACTCAGGAAAGGCACTGATAAATTAGAGGGTTCTGTTTTGTTTTTTACAAACCACAGGAATATTTAAAGGATTAGAAAACTTGTCATAAAGAGACTTTGAGTTCAGTGTATGTGTATCACATGGAAAATATGACCAGATATATGTGTTCTGAGAGGCTCTCACTTACTTAATCCTCAGCTGGCATTACCTGCAGTGGCAAGAAGCTCACAGCACAGAAAGGCAGGGATGTCTGTCAGCAGATCTCTTCTTTGGGAATGGCAGGTACTGCTGGAACACCTAGTGAGGAGAGAATATCACTGAGTCATTGGGAGAGGCCTCATGACTCCTGAGAAGCAGCAAAAGAGGAAAAATCACTGTAATTGTTTCATTTCTGCGTGGTGTGAGCGGTGCTATGGGCACCTTCTGCTTCGGTCCCCAAACACACCGAGATCGTTCCAGTGTCAGTAAGTCAAGGTCAGAGCTACACTCAGGCTTTAAGGAATGGTTCCATCGAACCCGGATTCCTATGGGGAAATATGGAAGTGATGTAAAGGAGCCTCATAAGATAAATTGTTGAAGTGGGATAAAATCCAGAGGTGTAAGTCCTACTGCTTACTGGGGGGGGGGGGGGGGGGGGGGGGGGGGGGGGGGGGGGGGGGGGAGAAGAAGAAAGGTAGAAATGCTTTAACAACAGCTTATCAACTTTTTTTTTTTTTCCCCAGTAAATGGTAGAAAATCCTTCATCACAAGTTACTTCCCAGCCAGGATAATGTTCAGCCAAACAAGAATTTCCATATTGGACAAGAAGGCAGCCCAGACCTGTACAACGATGTCTTGTTTTCTTTTTTTGGTCTATTTACCAGGCTAACTAAGGAAGTCGATTGTCTTAATTTCCACTAATTGAGGGTGCAATCATTCCATTCAAGGGCAGGGCTGCTGTTCAGAGGGACCTGGACAAGCCAAAGGGATGGGGCTGACAGGAATCTCATTGAAGTCAAGGGAAAACACGGAATTATGTGTCTAGGATGGGGTAGACAATGCATGGGGATGGATAGGCTGCCTGCCTAAGGCAGAGAAGCGACAGGACGAGGAGCAATGGCCATAAACTAAAACACAACAAGTTTCACCTCAACATGAGGAAGAACTTTACCTTGAGGGTGGCAGAGCACTGGAACAGCTGCCCAGGCAGGGCATGGAGTCTCCCTCTCTGGAGACATTCCAAACCCACCTGGGCAAGCTCCTGTGTCACCTGCTCCAGGTGACCCTGCCTTGCACTGGATGATCTCCAAAGGTCCCTCCCAACTCGAACTCTTCTGAGATGCCGGGATTCCGTGACAATCCCTCCTGGCCCTAGGGAACACTTGTTTTACCGTGATCCCACAGCACACCCCGACTGCGCTGGCGCCTCACAGCCTTTCAACCAGCTCTCACCACACGGCACCTCGAACAGGCCTCCTCGTTATGGGCGCCCCAATACGAGGAGGAGGATCACAAAACCTGACCGAGCGACCTGGAAGCCACCGCAGCGCTGGGGCCGGAGCGCTTTGCCCGGGGGCCGTGCCTGGAGCGGGAGATCGGGGTTGATCGGGGACCCCTGTTCCCGGGGTCCGTGGAACAGGGCGCTTCGACCGTGAGGGGAAGGGGCGCCTATCCCGTGAGGGTGAGGAGGCTTTGCCCGTGAGGGGAAGGGATGCTTCGCCCGTGAGTGCAGAGCGGCTTTGCCCGTGAGGGGAACGGGCGCCTTTCCCGTGAGGGGCAGGAGGCTTCGCCCGTGAGGAGAAGGGGCGGCTTCGCCCCTGAGAAGAAGGCGGCTTTACTCGTGAGGAGAAGGGGTACCTTTGCCCGTGAGGGGAGGGGAGCTTTTCCCGTGAGGGGAAGGTGGCCTTTGCCCGTGAGGGGAAGAGGAGCCCTTCCCTTCCGTGCAGACCACGTTTTCCCGTGAGGGGAGGGCGGTCCCCGGGCGGAGCCGCCCTGGAGGAGCCGCCCCTGCCCCGCGCAGGCGCCGCCCCCGCGGCGGCCGCTCGCGCCCGCACTTCCTGAGGGCGGGCGGGCCGGACATGGCGCTGGGCCGCTGGCGCCAGGGTTGGTGGCTGCTCGGCGCCCTGCTCCTCGCGGCGCTGCTGGGTCCCGCCGCCGTGTCCTCCTTCTCCTCCTCCAGCCCCGGCGAGCTGCGGAGCCCCGTGCGAGTGCTGTGCGGCTCCAACTGGAGCCTGGTGTTGCAGGGCCAGTGGATGCTGGAGTTGTGAGTAGCGGCCGCTTTCCCGCCCGCCTCGGAGGCAGCGTGTGCCGGGGGGGCGAGGGGTGCTCCCGGTGAGGGGCTCCCGCTGAAGGGCGGGTGCGGCCGGTGCCTCCTGCCCCGCAGTGGGGAAGAGGAGGCCGGGCACTGCCGGCCTTCCCATGCCCTGGAGGGGCCGCGCAGCTCCCCCGCCCGGGCACGGCGTGAGGGAGGCGGCGGTGCCTGCGGTCCCTCCCGCCCGCCCTGAGCCTGCGGGCACTCGCTGCCCTCGGCTGGGGTGACCCGACAGAAGTAGCTGCCCCTCAGGTTCTCCTCCTGTGCGGGCACAGAGTGACCAAGGTTACACGGGTCGCTCCTTTCTGGGGAATGAAGGACGCTGAATGAAGGACATGGACCTGTTGGAGCGAGTCCAGAGGAGGCCACCAAATTTATCAGAGGGATGGAGCACCTCTCCCGTGAGGAAAGGCTGAGAGAGTTGGACTTGTTCTGCCTGGGAAAGAGGAGGCTTTGGGGTTACCTCATTGCAGCCTTCCAGTACCTGAAGGGAACTGGGAGGCAAGATGGGGCAAGACTGTGTACAAGGGCATGTGGCGACAGGATAAGGAGGAATGGCTTCCAGCAGAGAGTACACTCAGATTAGATACTAGGAAAATATACTCTGGGGATGTTGAGGCCCTAACACAGGTTACCCAGGGACGTTGTGGATGCTCCATCCCTGGAAGTGTTTAAGGCCGATTTGGATGGGGCTTTGAGCGACCTGGCCTAGTGTAAGGTGTTCCTGCCTGTGACAGAGAGTTGGAACTGGATTATCTCCAAGGCCCCTTTCCAGCCCAAACCACTCTGTGATTCTGTGAAGCAGCTGGCCCTCGGGTTCTTGTCCAAGTGCCCAAGGTTAAATGGGATCATTCCGCCCAGCTCCCTGCTGAGGAATAGTGTCAGGTGCTGCTCCTCGCCCTGCTTCCCCACCGGGGGGCTGTCTCTGGGTTCTGTGCGAGCTCTAGGAAGGCTGAATTCCATAGGGAACACTTAGCAGGAGCAGGCTTCCAAAGCAGCATTACATAATATCCCAGCACACCCTCACTCCAAGCCTTGAGCTCTGGAGTTCCCCTTCAAGGGAGATCCATCAGGTTTCATTAACGTTCCAGTGCTGCTGTTCCCAGGCCGGGTGACATCAGGAGAGGTTTATCTGTTTGGAGTTTTAAGTTTTAAGACATGACACAGTTCTTGAAGTTCACGTGATGTTCTGTTCTTGGAGCCTCGCTCACCTGCTTGTATTTAGAAGGGGTAGGAGCTTGAGGTTTTTTTTTTTTTAAGACAGCAATGAATAAAAAAGTAGTTTAAGTAGGCAGTAAACTCACATGGTGCCTGTGGGCTGTGCAGCTATGAAATAGGGTTTTATTGTGGTGTGTGTGCTGCTTTGTGGAGGTGCTGAAGTTTGAAACAGGTTGAACATCTGACCCCATGCTCCAGCACAAATAACCTGCTCATCTGCCTAAAGTTTTGCTTTACTGTTGAATTTGAGATGTCTCCAAATATCTCTTGTTAGTCTCTGATTAGGGGGAGGGACTATCACTTCCCTTAGGACTTTACTGTTAAGGATCCTGCTGGACACCTGGTGTTAATCAATGACTAGGTGGGAACAATCCTGAAAGAGCTGGCTGAGAGACCCAGGGGTGCCCACTGTGGTGGCTAAGGACTTGATTTTGAGTCTCTTTCTTTCCCTTTTCATTTATTGTGATCTAAAAGGTGGGGAAAGAGAGAACCTCAAAGCAGGAGAAAATAAATCTATTTTTTAAATTGAAATGTTTTCACTCGGTACATCTTAGTCTGCTGTGGAAGCAACTGTATGGAAGTTACTGATTCACGTGTGTGTTGGTGAGTTTTAAGGAGGAAAAAGATTATTTATGGCGACTACAAGTTTTTATTTCTAGTAGAAAATATTTCAATAATTAGTGGTGTATGCTTTTAAGAAAGTTAAAAAAGAGGAACTAACTGAAATCAGAAGTGGTTGGGATAGCAAGCAGTTAAAATCCTTTGCAAATCTTTATTCCACTTGCAACATTCCCCTCTGGTTTGGAGTGACAGGCACTGACGATAGCAGGGTCAGCTTTAGTGCTGGCAGAGTGTGGAACGTGTTGCTGCATCGCTTAAATTAGACTTTATTTCATTTTCTGTGCAGCGTGTGATGTGTGAAAGATCCTCAGTTCTCTGTGCTTCTTTCTGTGGTGCACTTCTAGTGCTTTCTGGTTTTTTTTTACTGAGGAGAAACCTTTGTCTTCATTGACTATTGAAACCCAGTGCTGGTGTTGTCGAACTAGGGAGAGTTTGACATTTCCAATCGTGTCTAATCAGGAGTTTGAGATCTAGTATTGATTTTTTCTTTTCCACTGTTCTTGCAGCAGTTCTCGTGCTGATGGATTTCGGGTTCCTGGTGGTTTTTATCCGGTTCAGAGCTGGTGATCCCAGCCAGGAGTCCTGCCTGTCAGTCCATTGATTCCTCCCGTGCTGTGTGGTGGGTCTGTTGGCAGGACTGCAGTAATGCTCATTAAAACCTCAGTTGTTAGAAGAACCTCCTGTTTCTTTACAAGACCGTTGTTTTCCAAGCAGTGCTTATTTTAATTAATGCAAATGTTGTTATAGGATCTCTATTAAAAAAAACCCACTTATTTTGGTCACCTGCTCTTGAAGCCTTTTGCCATGGTGAGGAACAGGTGCTGCTGCTGTTTAATGTCAGTTTTTCTGGAAAATTTACTCTGAAATTCCAATTTTTATTGTTCCCACGTGCACAACTAGAGAAATTTAAGTTTGAAATTACTTGTGTGTGTGGGACCTGTAGTGGAAATAGGATTTTTTCCCTCCATCCCTTGTAGCTGAAGTGTGTGTACTTGGCTGACTTGTTGTAAATATTTGGTTATTCAGAGCTGGCAAAATCGCAGGCCCTGGAAGTGCTGCTGCAGTTCATTGATAAAAATGTTCTGGATAAAGTGTCTCTGCAAGACATTGCAACACTTTTTGCCTCCTGTAACTATCAGAGCACACAGGTCCTCACTGGAGGGCTGCAAATTTGCTGCCGGGATGAGCTGAGTAACAAAGTTTCCTTATTTCCTTATCTCCAGTCTGTAGGAACCAGATAATGATTCATTAACGCCAGGAGTTTTCTTTTTGTCTTTAATGTTGTGCCCGTTTGGAATGTAGGGAGCTAATTTCTGCTCTGCTTATTTTGTGTTTGTAAACATAACTTGTTCCAAGCTCGATTTATCTTAATTTAACATCCTCTTCTTTTTGAAGTAAATTAAAACGATCAGACAAAAAAAAAAAAACAAAAACCAACAACCTACCAAACCACCATCAATGAACTTGATCTCTGAGTACAAAAGAAACTATTTACACTCTTGTTACATCTGCAGTACTTTAGGTACTTGTTTCTACACCAGGTGCTAAATGTTTTGCTTCCCTTTTGTTTTAGCACCTGAAAAAGAATGCCTTAATTTTCTATTTTAATTCTAGCCAGGTGAAAATCAGTGTAATGGTCACGTTTCTAAGGCTATCTTATTATAGTATAGGTCCATACTTTATTTTCCCTTTGTCATATATTATTAAATATTGCCCTGCTGCCTCCTAGGCCAGATAATCACAAGGGTTCAGTCCTCCCACCAGCACTTTTGGCTGTAGTTCCAAGGCAGGGGGCTGAAAATGTAGCTGAATGTTTTGGTGTTTAGATGGTTTAATGCTTTTAATCGGCTGGCTTGAAACACTTTGTGTAAATAAACTCCTGAAGGATTTAATAATTTATTTAATGATTGCTTAGATTGAAAGCTCAATAAGATTGGGAATTTTCTGTCACTTAGGAGTTTAGTCTCTTGTTAGTATCCAAGCTTTTCTTTGTCCTGTTCTTAAAAAAACTCCAAGCACTAAACAACCCAATAAAACCCAAAAAGCAGGGGCAATGAAAGTCAAGTTATCAAAACTGATAAAATATGAAGCAGAAATATCCTTGTAGCAGATGCTTAATATTGCAGAAGGGGGCATAAAACCATGGAGAGTGATGGAACTTAATCTGCTGAAGCTCTAGAATATTTTACATAGTTTTTTAGTGATAGATTTGCTTTATGCTTTAATTTCTCCTTAAAAAAAAATAAAGCTTGTGAATGGAAAGTTGTTGAGGGTCCCTTTTTTTTTTATGTTTGTGAAATCTGTAGCAAATAAGGCAAAACTACTTAAAAGAATAAAAGTAATAATTGAATTCTGCTACTGTTTTAACAGACTGTTAGATGCTGTCTGAACATTTTTACTTTGTTTTTAAGAGTTCTCCCGACGGGAACTCCATCAAACAGTTGGGTTTAAGAAATGGTGCTCTTGATGTTACATCTCCTCACTGAGATTATCAATAATGGGAGGGGGGAAAAAGCAGGCAGGAGGAGTCAGTTACATTTCTTTGAAAATGAGGGAGTTGGTGGACAGAACAAGAAGAGACACGAATGGCTCGGAGTTGGGAACTGTATCAGGACATCTCAGTGAAGTCACTGTGTTTTACTGCTCTCCTCTGCACTGAGTGGCACTTTGCTCAAACTGGTTTTAACTTATGGTGGGGATTTTTTTTTTTTTTTGTATTGCCTCAGTGAAGTTGCTGCTATGTGGAAGCCAAAGCTTTTATGCTTTAAATCAGAGGTAAATAGAAGTCAAAAGCAAAGTGTGTGTCTAAGAGCCTCAAATTTGGCTTT